CGCTACCAGAGCTTGGTAAAATTATTTCCATCGTTTAAGTTTTAGTCTGTTTTTGTCTTTGTGTGTAAGGTGTGTCTCTTGCAGGCAGCATATTGATGGGTCTAGTTTTCTTATCCATTCTGTCACTCTTTGTCTCTTCACTGGTGCATTCAACCCATTGACATTCAATGTAATTATTGATAGGTGTGAATTAATTGCTGCCATTATGTTACTTTTTTGTAGTGCTGTCCGTCCTTTTGTTCTGCATGCCTTTTTGTGTTGGGTTTGTGTTTTCTGTGCTATTTCTTGTCAGTTTGTTCTTAGTTTTCATGTTTGCTTGTTCTGCTTGGAAGTTCATTTTCATGTTAAGTTGTGAAATATTTACATTCTTTGGGGTTATCTTATAGTCTACTAACTTATTTCTCCCTTTAAGAGAATCTGTTGTATCCTGTAATTTACCTGGCATCCTCACCACCTGGATCTCTGCTGCTATGTTTGTCCCTTCTTTGACATTGATATAATTTTGATCTTCGGTTGACTTCCAAGCTCCCTTGGGTTCATTATTGTAGTCACTGTTCTGCTCTGGACTCTGCTATCCACTGACTGAGTTCCAGGTGGTGTTGCCACCCTGTCAATCTCTACTTGTCTGTTCTTGTTGGTTTTCAGTCCGCAGAACTCCCTTTAGGGTGTTTTGAAGTGCTTGGTTGGTTTTGATAAAAATCTCTCAAATTCTGTTTATCGTGGAATGTCTTGCTTACACCATCGTATTTGATTGATAATTTTGCTGGATAGATAATTCTTGGTTGGCAGTTTTTTTTTCTTTTAGGGTTTTGTATGCCTCCCCATTGCCTTCATGCCTACATCGTTTGTGCTGAATAGTCAGAGCTTAATCTGATTTGCTTGCCTTTGTAAGTGACACTTCTCTTCTCCCTGGCTGCTTTTAGAATTCTCTCCTGGTCTTGGATTTTGGAGAGCTTGATTATCATATGTATTGGTGACTTTGTTTTGGGCTCTATCCTTCCTAAGTTATGTTTGGATTCTTGACTGTTTATCTTCTCGTCTTTCAAAATCTTAGGGAAATTGTCTTCCGGAATCTCTTCAACTATCTCCTCTGTGGATTTCTCTGATTCGTCCTGTTCCAGAATGCCAATAATTCTTAAGTTGTTCCTCTTCATGTTATCCAGCATGAATCATAGGCTCTCTTCAGGTATTTTATCCTTTTTTCTGCTTGGTCTTCTATCTTAGCAGTATTGAGAGATTTGTCTTCCAGCTTGCTAGTTCTGTCTTCCATGTCTTTTATTCTGCTTCTTTCCCTTTTCAGTGTATTGTTCATTTCTGATATCTTATTATTAGTCATCTGGACCTCTTTTTGCAGATTTTGAATTGTTTCCAATGCTGTATCAATCTTATTTGATTGTTCTTGTATTACTTTCCTGACTTCTTCCTTGTTTTCCTCCACCCCTTTTCAGTGCATTTGAATTTGTTTCCGTATTATTCTTCTGAATTCTTTCTCAGGCATATCCCAAACCTGCTTTTCCTCTTCTAGAAAGCCCTTTTCTGTCTCCAGCTCATTTGTCTCAGCTGCTCCCTTCCGTTTTTGGACATGTTTTGTTATCGTTTGTTGTTTTTTATTCATCATTTCTGATAGTTATGTGTTTTTGATTTCCCTTTTTAAAGCTTGATTGGATGTTTTTTGTTTGTTATTAAGCTTACTGGGAGTCTCCTGGTGCATACGGTCAGGATATAGGCTTCCCTTTTTGCATGTAATGCTTAGCAGATGTTGTTGGCTCTTGTCTCTGTGGGGTATGCTTATAGCTTTGCTATATGGCCACGATTACTGTCTCTTCTTGGGTATCGTAGGGAGAAAAGGCTCCCGCCTCCAGGAAAGATGTGTGATCAAAAGGACCAAAAGCAGAAGCAATATAAATGCAGAGACAAATACAATCACTTTGAAACAGAAATGAAGCTGTGGTTGACTGTCCCAAGCTACACAGTCAGTGTGTGTGCAAGGCAGAAGCCTCCCGCAGTGAGTGAGAGTGGCCACTCGCCCAGGCCCCACCTCTAGTCACTATAATAGAGGTGCACAGGTATATATTGAGAATTTAATGGGGGAAAGATTGTCCACTATTTTTGTCTCTGAAGGTCAGTTAGGTGTCTGTGGGTGCAGCACAATTCTTGAGATGGTTGAGTCCTTTTATGTTGGGTTTTACAGATTGTATTTTAAGGGTCTTGCACACAGAACCCAGGTAGTGCAGTGACCACGAATGGGGCCACAAACTGCAAGGTCAGCAGCTCGAAACCACCAGCCACTCTGTGGGAGAAAGGTAAGGCACTCCACTACTGCAAAGACCCATAGCCCCAGAAACCCTGCACAGGGTTGCCTGGAGTCGGAACTGACCACCAAGGGTTTAAATCACATCATTAAAGTATAATTCCATCTTGTTGTCCATAATGTCAGGAAGATGGCTTTTTGGAGATGCAGATAAATATGTAAACGTAAATACAGCAAAGAGTGTAATCATGAGTGGATAAATAGGTATAATGTAATAGAAAAAGTACTCTTTGAAGTAAATAAAATAAGTGCAAGTGCACAACCACCAAGGGTTTAGCTCAAATCAATCTTAGTGCTGTGTCTCCATGGCTGACATCATTAGTGGCCACCAAGCTCCCTCTCTCTGTATTGTGGGGGAACTGCAGGGTCAGGGCTGTTTTTTGGGGGTGCACATCTACCCACCTGATGGCATGATGGCTGAGTGAAGAAGGTGCTCCAGGGAAGATGCGGAAGAAATGTGTAGAGTCTCCTGCACCTCTTTATGCAAGTGTCTCTGCACCGCTTTTAGAACAGATTCACTGAACCTGAATGGCTGTAGCCCCGCTCTCTAAACACTTCCAGGTGGTATAGCCACAGAGGGAGCCCCGTCTCCTGATTTCTAACTCACAGTATTCTCCTTAATATTATGATTTTTTTTTCACTTGTGATTGTGGGAAACTGATGTCCTGGGCCTTATGGTAGATACAGAGCTCTGGAGTTGTTCTGTGAGCGCTTCTTGCATGAGATCTCAGTCTCTCTCTAGCACAGAGATTTCCCTACCTGACTTTCTCCACTGCTGCTGAAACTGCTAGTTTTCCATATTTGTAAGTCTTTTTCGGTTTCTTGTAGCAGTGTTTTGTAGTTTTCTTTGTAAAAGTTGTTTGCTTCTTTGGTTACATTTATTCCTTGATGTTTCATCCTTTGGGCTGCTATTGTAAATGGTATTGCTCTCCTAATGTCCTTTCAGCACTGTCATTATTGGTATAGAGGAATCCAACTGATTTTTATATGTTGATCTTATACTCTGACATTTGCTGTATCTTCCAATGAGGTTTAGTAGGTTTTTCACTGAGTCTTTAGGGTTTTCTGTATATACAATCATATCATCTGAAAATAGAGAGAGTTTTACTTTTTCTTTGCCAATTTGGATGCCTCGATTCCCTATCTTGCCATTTAGCTGTGGCTAAGATCAGTTCATTTTTGATGACTTCCACTTTTCCTAAATTCTTACTTCATACACTCCATGTTCTTATTAGTAATGGATGTTTGCAGCTGTTTCTTTTATTTTGAATCATGCCATATCAGCAGATGCAGGTCCCAAAAGCTTTGCTCCATTCACATCATTAAAGTAGATTCTTCCTTAAGAAGATAATTCCATCTTGTTGTCCATAATGTCAGGAAGATGGCTTTTTGGAGATGCAGATAAATATGTAAACGTAAATACAGCAAAGAGTGTAATCATGTGTGGATAAATAGGTATAATGTAATAGAAAAAGTACTCTTTGAAGTAAATAAAATAAGTGCTTAGTAGATTCAGAGCAAGGACTGACTATGCTTGACTGTCATAGGATACTAGTAGCTATACTTTTAAGAACTGATCAAGTATGAGCTTTTATTCATAATGGGATCGCACAGGTATCGAAGCTAACGAAATTTAGTTAGAAATGTTAGAAAGGATAGGTTATTTAGAAGTATTCTAGACTTAACCCTATTTGACTGAAGAAAGGGGTAGGTGAGCTGTAATGAAAGCTGAGACTGGAAAGGACATTTAGAGCAAACACTCCCCATATTTGTTGGCATTGTTTTTTGCCAGCAATATAATCCAAAGACTTTAAATTTTGACTCACAGTAATGAATAAGAGAAATGAAATAGGTGAAAATTATTCAATAGACCTGATGTCTGAAAGCTGAGACTGGAAAGGACATTTAGAGCAAACACTCCCCATATTTGTTGGCATTGTTTTTTGCCAGCAATATAATCTAAAGACTTTAAATTTTGACTCACAGTAATGAATAAGAGAAATGAAATAGGTGAAAATTATTCACTAGACCTGATGTTATAAAGAAAAAATTACCTAAAATTTTCCCATTAATTATTTTTTCAGTTAGTCATATTCATGGTCCTTCACAGAATTCATCTCTAAAACCCAGAGACTTTCACCAAAACCTGTATGAATATTCATAGATTAGTTGCAACTTTGCTGAAGGTCATTTAAACAGATATCTTCATTGAACCCTAATTTCATGGTTCATACCGCTAACCCCATCATAATTAGACTCTGAAGATGACTGCTATTGATCCCACAGAGCATAGCTTCCTCTAACCTATACACTTCCATGTATCCATGACAACTGATACTGATCATATTTTATACCTGTTGAATCCCCAATCAGGCTTTGGTCCTTTGCTTTGTTGTTACAACATAGCACAGAGCCCTGGAATTCAATAGCTCAGAAAATATTAATAGTTTTATTCATCATTGTTTAAAAAAGACGTCAATCCCTAATAAACTAGTAACAGTTGAGCTCACAAAAGAATTAAGATCAGGAAACAAAATTTGACCTCATTATCCACAGCACATAACAACAACAACAACATCTCTAATTATATTTTGAAAAAAAATGTCTCAAACATTGAATTAGTGTAGCAGAATAAAAGATAAGCTGAGAATTAAAGCAAACATTACTTTCCCATGACTGCCTGCCTTACCTTTTCCACATCACCCAGGCCTTCAGTGTCCAAAAGGACCAGGGTGTGATTGGGTTTGTAGGGGTGAGGTACACACCACATCCAGATGCCCTTGGTTTCAGACCTCACTGTGGAGCCCAGATGGAAGCCTGCATGGAAAAAGGGAAAGAACATCAGTGACAGCAGGTATTCCAGGCTGACCAAGAGCTGCAGCACTTAAACTTATAGGATGACAAGTGCCTGACAGGATGAAGAGTCAACGAAGCCTTTATATATACTAAGCTCCTTCTCAAAAACTTCGTGTCTCCTGTTCACTTTATTTCTTTAAGGTGTCAAATCACATCACATTACAGAATTAATGGAAACTATTGAACTATAGATTTTTACCTGATGCTTAAAAGGAAAGAAGGGAAAAAAAAAAATAGAGAAAGGTTCACAAGACAGCTCTATATCTCTAGTTTATCATCATATTGTTGTCATTGTTGTTGTTGTTGGGTGTCATTCAGTCTGTACAACTCATAGAGACCATATGCACAACAGAATGAAACACTGCCCTGTCCTGGGCTAACTTCACAATGGTTCCCATGCTTGAGCCCATTGATGCTGCCACTTTGCCAATCCATCTCACTTAGGTTCTTCCACATTTTCTCTGACCCTCCACCTTATCAAACATGATATACATCTCCAGTGACTGGTCCCTCCTGACAATATGTTGGAACTATGACAGACAAAGTCTGACCATGCAGGCCTCCAAGAAGCACTCTGGCTGTACTTCTTCCAACACGGATCCTATTGGTCATTTGGAAGCCCATGGTACTTTCAATAGTCTCCTCCAACACAATAATTCAAATGCATCAATTCTTCTTTCATCTTCCTTATTCACTGTCCAACTCCACATGCATATAAGGTTATTAAAAATACCATGGCTTTGGTAAGGTGCACCTTATTCCTCAAACTGACATCTTTGCTTTTCAACACTTTAAATAGGTCATATGCAGCAGACATATTGCAGTACGTCATTTGATTTCTTGACTGCTATTTTCATAAGTGTTAATGATTAAGATGAGCAAAATGAAGTCTTTGACAACTTAAATATTTTCTCCATTTATATGAATGTTGTTTATTGGTCCTGTGGTGAGGATTTTTACCTTCTTCACATTGAGGTGCAACCCATACCAAAGGATGTGGTCTTTGATCTTCATTAATAAGTATTTTTAGCCCTCTTTGCTTTCAGTAATCAAGAATGTATCATCTGTATATGCAGGTTGTTAATGAGGATTCCTCTAATTCTGATGCATTGCTTTTCTTCATATAATCCATCTTCACAGATTATGTGCTCAGCACACAGATTGAATGAGTGTGGTGAAAAAATACAACCCTGCCACACCCCTCTGCTAATTTTAAACCATCAGTGTTCCCTTGTTCTGTTCAAGTAACTGCCTTTTGGTCTATGTTCTGGTTTTTCATGAACACAATTAAGTGTTTAGTAATATTCACTCTCCACAATGTTGTCCATAGCTTGTCATGATTCACACAGTCAAAAGCACAGGTAAACATTTTTCTTGTATTGTTTGCTTTCAGCCACAATCCATCTGACATCAGTAATGTTATCCCTCATTCCACACCCTCATCTGGATCCATCTTTAACCTCTAGTAGTTCTGTCAGTGTATGTTTGCAGCTGTGTCTGAATTATGTTAGCAAAATTTTATTGCGTGATACTGTCTGATAACTTCAACATTCTGTTGAGTCACCTTTCTTTGGAAGGGTTCAAATAACTGCCTTTTGGAGCTCTTCCAGTCAGCTGGCCAGGTAATTGTCTTCCAAATTTCTTGGCATAGATGAGTAAGTGCTTTCAATGCCTCATCAGTTTGTTGAAAGTTTTCAATTTTTATCAATTCACAATGCCTTATTCTTTACCAATGCCTTCAATGCACCTTGGACTTCTTTCTTTAGTATCATTGGCACTTGATCATATGCTATCGCTTGAAATGGTTTTGCATTGATCATTTCTTTTTGGTACATTGACTCTGTGTATTGCTACCATCTTCTTCTTTTTTTAAATATCCTACAGTGTCATTAAAGGACTCCATAAATCTTTACAAGAACAGAAAACCTCATCTTTCTCCTGTGGAGCAGCTAGTGGATCCATACTGCTGACCTCTTAGTTAGTGTCCAATGAATATTTGTGGTGGTGGTGTCATGATGCTCTCTGCATCATTCAATATTTTACCTATAGAGTTCTTCAATACTGCAAGTTTAGATTTGAATTGTTTCTTCAGTTCCCTCAACTTGAGAAATGCTGAGCACGTTCTTCCCTTTTGGTTTTCTCACTGTAGGTCTTTGCACATTTTGTTATAATATTTGACTTTGTCTTCTCGAGCTGTTCTTTGAAATTTTTTATTTAGCTCTTTTACTTCCTCATTTCTTCCATTTCCTTTAGCATCTCTATATTGGAGAGCAAGCATCAGTCTCTCTGGCATCCATGTTGGTCTTTTCCTTCTCTTTTGTCCTCTTAATCTCCTTTTGCTTTATTCCACTATGATGTTTTCAATATCATCCCACAGCTCTTTTGTTCTTCGTTCGTTGGTGTCTAATGCATCATGTCTCTTCCTGAAATGATCTCTAAATTAAAGTGTGATATACTCAAGGTCATATTTTGGATCTTGTGGACTTATTTGAATTTTCTTCATTGTCAGTCTGAACTTGCATATGCCAATTGATGAGCAGTTCCACAGTCTGACCCTGATTTTGTTTTGGCTGTTCTTACACCATCTAGTTGCACAGATATAGTCAATTTGATTTCTGTGTATTCCATCTAGTGAGTTCTATGCATGTTGTCATCTTTTATTTTGCTTAAAACAGGTATTTGCAAAGAAGTCATTGGCCTTGCAAAATTCTATCATGCAAGCTCCAGCATGATTTCTATCACCAAGGCCTTATTTTCCAACTAATGATCCTTCCTCTAGTTTTCAACCTTTGAATTCCAATCACCAGTAATTATAAATACATCTTGATTGTATGTTTGATCCATTTTAGACAGAAGATATTGATAGGATTCTTCAGTTCCATCATCACTGGTTTTAATAGTTAGTGCATAAATTTGAATAATGGTGGTATTAACTGGTTTTCCTTTAAGGCATATGGATATTATCCTATCACAGACAGTGTTGTACTTCAAAACAGATCTTGATATATTATTTTTTAACATAAGGAAAGAGAATTTGAGTGCTATGCCCAGGATACAGAGAATATTATATCCTATCAAAGAGTCCAAAATTTTGACTATCCACCATTTATTATACTTCCTTCAACTAAGACAATAAATAGTCTTGATGAAATTCCTAGGAGACTATTATTCAGAATGGCTGAGACCATTCAATTATAACACCCTTGTTTTCTCCAAAGAGAGGGTATAAAAACCTGGATTGGTTTTTATTCTTATAAACACACTGCACATTTGTCCTGATGTCAATTCTGACTCAGCAACCCTATAAGACACAGTAGGACTGTCCTAGAGGTTTCCAAGGCCATAATCTTTATGGAAGTAAAGTGTCACATCTTTCTCCTATGGATCTGCTGGAAACTTCCAACCAGAAGGGTACATAATCACTGTACTACTGTTATTGTTGTTGTCAGGTGCCATCAAGTTGGAACCGACTCATAGCGACCCCTTGCACAGCAGAACGAAACAATGTCCGATCCTGGG